GCGAGGACCCGTCCATCGCCGCTTGCGGCTTTAATTAACTTTTGATTTCCCTTTAAACATTCCACAGCATCTTAATGTACAGATGTCAGACATATTCTCAGAAAATGCAACATCAGTCCTTTAATAAAACCTTATGTCAATTCATACATATACTGTAAGTGTAAAAGATGTGAAAAATAAAAACATTGAGACTTTTTTTAAATGAGATAAATATGAGAATACATGTGAGGTGAAACAGGAACATGGAGGAGTGCAGCAATTCATGTTGTACAGAAGGCGTCCCGAAGAAATGACTCAGAAACAACACAAATATTCTGCGTCATTCAGTGGAACACTGATGGTTGAAAGAGTTTCTTAAGATTATGTAGAACAGTGGTTCGTGTCTGTAACCCCAGAGAGCAGCGCCCCCTGGTGCTGGGTGGACAGATCAGCCTCCATCCTGACAATCTACATACAGCAAACAAAATATACCCTCAATGAACGACAACGGATGTTGGGATAGAAAATGGAGTGCACTGTTGAGCGACACAGCTCGCGTCTTTGGTGGAAATATTCACAATCACATACATGACAGTCTCTTTGTTCATTCACACAAAAACCAAAGGCTTCAGACGAAGAGCTTTAGCAGAAGAAAACTGGACTTATTCGTAGAGCTTGAAGACATTTCACCTTCATGGTTTCCTTATTACTTCATGACTTGTTGGGAGTTCCAGGTGTTTATTTAAGGCATCTAAATTTAGTTGTGGATCTCATCAAAGCCACAGAATGAGCCACGAGGAACAACAACCAAGCAGAAGCAGAGCAACTCAGCATGAAGGTGACAGGTCCTACTCTGTAGTACAACATCATTCTGACTAACAACCCAGGTAAGAAGGCAGAAACATCTCTGAGTAAAGACCAGGCAACGTCCTGTCAACACATCCAATTACCCAAAATACATATTCAGAACCAAAAAGAGAAGTCTGGGTGCCTTCTTCTGAAGCACTAAGAATCTACAAAGACAAGAAACTGTTTAGTGAAGCGACACTCAGGAACATATGGCTTCTTATCCAGGAGCAAAAGATGTTAAACTTCTGCATGTCATGTGACAACATGTCCAGCTTTTATGATGTTTATGTACAAAATGTGACACCTCTTCGTCTTGATCTTACATTTTGAAGAGCCCTGAGATAACATATGTTATTATTTGGTCCTATATATACAGTATACATGTTGTGATAAGCTGTGACATATTATGGCATGACTTCTAATAGCATGATGTGTTCTACAATAACATCCATCCACCCATTAGCTATACCTTCCTCATCCCGTAGGAGGTTATGGGGGCCTGAACCGGTCACCAGTCCAGGGAAGTCACACCTAAAACTAATTCAGAATCATCCATTAACCTACCATGCACATCCATGTCCCACGACAACACATGGTCAAAGAAAGACGAGGACACGACCTTTATATACACTTGTAGAGACCATGTATATGAAGACAGCCTGGAGTTTCCAAGGAGTCACTGGAAACTCATGACATACATGATCTTCACAAGTGTACGTAAACTTTTGTCCATGACTGTAGGCCTGCAGAGTTCTGTTGATCCTTCAGGAAGACACACTGTGGACGGACGACCTGCAGAGACATGTCTGATGTCGGTTTCACCACCAGGGGGCAGCATGAAGGTGGGTCTGTATCCACTCCACATATTTAGCCACTCGGGTGTAGACTCCATACACCCTCTGACTCCCACACTCCTCTGGCCCTCCCCAGGACACCAACCCAAACACCACCCACCTCCGGCTGCCCTGGTCCTCCATCACAAACGCCCCCCCGCTGTCCCCCAGGCAGGTGTCCCTCCCCCCCTCGAAGAAACCGGCACAGAACATGTTGCCGGTGATGTTGTAGCTGATGGAGCGCGAGGCGTAGCTCGCCTGGCACTCATCCTGAGAAACCACCGGCAGCTTCACATACTGCAGGAGGTCTGAGGTCATCCCGAGGTCGGCGGCAGCAGCGGGGTCCGAGGTCATAGTGGAGGAAGAAGAGGAAGAGGAGGGCGATGAGGAGGAAGAGGAGGCATTGGGGTTGGAGATTCCCCAACCAGCGACTATACCCAGAGAGTTGGGAAGAGGTGCAGGGGGGTCGTCCTGGGAAAGGATAGAGGTCAGAGGTCAACCAGCTTCATGTTCAAGCAAACATGTCCAGCATCATTTTTAGCTTTTAGTTTAGCGTCACGCTAGCAGCTGCTTTAGCGTTTGTCCCACCTGTCTGGGAGGTGGTGGGAGGCAGATGGGACGGACGACCTGGTTGAAGTCCACCTGGTCTGTAAGCCTCACCAGGGCGATGTCGTTGTTGTAGTTGTTGGGTTGGAAGTCTGGATGGAGGAAGATCTGGTCCACGGAGCGGTTGGTGGCCAGACGCTTGTCTCTGGCGTTGTGGAGACCGAGGAAGACCTGTCAGACAAAAACACATCCAGAAACTGGTCAATGCAACTGATCAGATACCGACAATAATCGATCATCACGAGGACACATGCGCAGTGGTCAAACTGCCGGCCAATCAGAGACGATAATAAACAACAACAAACTCCAGCCTCACCTTCCCAACTCACCAGCAGAGGATGTTCTAGGTTTGTTTTTTGGTATAACCCACTTACAGGTTAAAGTCGCACCCCGCTCAGCTCTGCTGGTAATCAGCGTGTTTCCAGTTAGAGAAGTTGTTGGTTCCACTAAGCTAAGCTAACTTTACCAACCAAATTACTTCTACACTGAACACTTACACAGTCTGATTCATTGGGTGTAGACTTCAGGTATAAGCCTGTGATTGGCTGTGCAACAAACCAAAACCTACACAGAACATTTAAAGTTTTGCAGAAGGTTTGGATTTTGCAGTAAAGCAGCTCTGCTAACAACGGTGCTGAACCATCATCATAGTTAAACTACAAACATTAGTCTAATAGTGACTGATATCAGAAAACAGACCATAAACATCTGATGCCTTCAAATCTCATCCTGGACTTCACATTATTTGGTAGTAGAGTAGGTCAGCTTGCGAACAGAATTTGAACAGTGAAGAATTTCAGAGGATGTAACGGTTCTGTGATCATGGAACAGAAGACTTTGCCCCCATGAGCCCCATCTGAGGATTCTCATATCTGTCCATCTAAACTGACCAACACTGAACCTCTCATGTGTGGAGGTCAAAACTTGTTTCCTTTTTGTGAAAACATCATCAAACCTCCTCCTCTGACCTTGACGTGGTCGGGAGCCACCGGGACGACGCTGGTGTCCCTCCTCTGGGACCTCAGGACGTGAGCGGCGGTCAGGATCCAGGACTCTGACAGCAGAGCTCCAGAACCGAACCAGCGGTCCTCCGGAACCCGGGACAGATCCTCCACACTGAGCAGAACCTGCCAGGGGAAGTGGCCGGGCTCGGCGCTCCGACCGCCCACGATCCGCTTCACCTGAGCGGGGAGGGAGCGGGACGGACGACCACAGGCTGGAGGACAGACAGGTAAACAGACTGGTAAACAAATAGGTAAACAAATACATAAACAGACAGACAGGTAAACAAACAGGTAAACAGACAGACAGGTAAATAAACAGGTAAACAGACAGGTAAACAAATACATAAACAGACAGACAGGTACCTGGCAGACATGTGGGGAGTTCGGTTCTTCCTTCTGAATCAATCCATTGCCCGTTCACACCACACTTGTATGAACCTACAACACACATCACAATAATAACAGACTTGTCAGCAAAGTAATCGTCAATAAATCCTTCTGATCAGTATCTGTTGTTAAACTGTAACTATATTCTGTTAAAAGGTATAAAAGGGAAGTGAAGTAATTTAAGCTCCTCCTACTGTTGGTCGGTTGGACGCCGTCCTGTTTACACACGTAGTGAACCGTCGCTCCAAACAGTGTGCTGTTGTCATGGTTACCAAACACCACGTCGGCCATGTCGACCATCTTTGGACTCCCACAATCCACCACTGTCACAGACAGGAAACAAACATCCTGTGATTAGCAACCAATCAGCTTTCAGTCTCCACCGACTACACCTAAACCAGACCAAAAAATACACCCAAACCTGACCTAAACCACATCTGAACTACACCCAAAACTACACCTAAAACAAACCCAACACTACACCTAAATTAGACACAAAACTACATCTAAACTAGACCCAAAACTACACCTAAACCAAACCTTCACCAGACCCCAAACCAGCACTTAAACCAGACCCCAAACCAAACCTAAACACATCCTAAGCCTGAACTAAAACTAGACTGAATCCTAAACCCAAATTACACCCAAATTAGATTTTAAAAAATTTACCTAAAACCAAACCGAAATCTACATCTCAACAAGACACAAAACTACACTTAAACCAGATCTAAACTGACTCTTAAACAAAACCTAAACAGACTCAAAACGAACCTTAAACCAGACCCAAAACTAAACCTGAACCCAACCCAAATCTGAACTAAAACTAGACCTAATCCTGAATCAAAAGTACACCCAAAACAGATCCCAAACTGAACTTAAAATAAACCCAAAACTAAACTGAAACCAGACCTAAACCTAGACCCTAAACAAGACCTAAATTACTCTTAAAACCAGCTCCTAAACTAGACCCAAATTAGACCCCAAACGAGACCCAAACCGGAATCAGCTGCTGCATCTCTACAAGGTTAGTTTGAAACTCAGGTTTTCTCGGATGTAAAAAGTTTGATATTTTACAAGAAGTCATAAATTCAATGATTGTATTAAATGATGTGATTAAATGATTTTAGATTAATTAACTGACAAAGATCAAAACAAGCGGGTTGGATGAGATGTGATGATTCGGAATTAATGGATTAAGACGATTTATTAAACATTAACTGACATTAAAGTCGTACCTCTGCTCATGTTCATCATCCTGCAGCTCGGTCACAAGCTTTGAGGCGGCAGGACTCAAAAGAATAAAGTACAACCTTTCTCTTTTTGTCATTTGTACACTTCATGATATTTATAGATGGACTTAAGAAGACCTGTTAAAACTATTCTGTGTTTTAAAAGTGATTTAAGGTGCTTTCAAGGATGTTCTCTGTTGCAACTGAGTCGCCTTCAGGATTCAAAATGTGTTGAAGAGGGATTTTGCAGAATTCTCTCCAGAAGTGATTCAGAACTACAACTAAATCTGACCGTGATAGACCCCCAAAACCAGATCTAAACAAGACCCAAAAGTACACCTAAACCCACAAGACTAAAACCATGCACCAAACTAAACCTGAACAGACCTAAAACTACAACTAAACCAGACAATTAACTAGACCCAAAACTATTCCTAAGACATACCCAAAACTACACCTAAACTGAGTCTAAACCGGACCTAAAACCTTACCTAAGCTAGGCCTAAACCAGACCCAAAACTACACATAAACAAACAATAAACCCAACCAAAAACTATACCTAAAACATACCCAAGAACTACATTGAAACCGAAACCAGAACCCAAACTACACCTAAACCAGACCATAAACTAGACCAAAAACTATTCCTAAGACAAACTCAAAACCTTACCTAAACTAGACCTAAACCAGACCCAAAACCTTACCTAAACTAGACCTAAACCAGACCCAAAACTATTCCTATAACTGGTTCACAGAGACGCACGACGGCAGATTCTGGTTTGTTTCGTTTTTTATTAGAAAATAAGTTAATTAAACTTCTGACACGCTGTTTGCTTCTACAGTATCATTATCGGCCAATGAGAGTTAAGCTCTCACTAATCTAGGCTGTGATTGGTTAACATGTTGGACAGAGATCTTCGTTTCCTCCTCGAGTCTGTTTCTACAGAAAAGAGAAAGAAGAGCAGGAAGAAGAGTTTCAATGAGCAGAGGAAGTCTTAGTCAGAGTTTAACGCTGGTTTTTATCTGCCAGCTTCAAAACAAAACGTTGTTGAACCCTGTAGTTGCAGTAGATCAGTCAGTCCACTGGATGGCGCCGTTGGACTTTTTACAGCATAGATGGTTATTTTTGTGCTCAAAAATCTCCCCGTTTGTCTGTTTTTGTTCTTTCATTTTACCCATTTTTATTTATCTATTGGAAAACAAACAAAAAAAATAGCAGTAAAAGTTCAGCTAGCTGAAAACGCGACCTGCAGCGCCTCCTGCTGTCTGGACGCTGGCAACTACTACTGTTTCCATGTGAACGAGTGTCTCATAAACCCTCTAAATTCTAAAGTCTTTTTTTTATTTACAAAATCGCTGAAATAACACCATTACTCAACCAGGACAGTTTAAAATTTAAACTTTCCAACGGTCCTTCAACTACTCATGTGTGACTTTTAGTTTCATCTGAAAAATTCACCAAATCTAAGTTTAAAATTGAGATATTTTATTTAAATCACTTTATTCTACGTCTCATTCAAAATTGCGCCAAATTTTAACAGTTTGATGAAACCAAATTCTATCAAAAAACAAGAATTCTGTATTTCTCATCACAACTTAAACACCATTAGCGGCTCGACTGTGTCCAACAGTCACATGACAAACAAATCAGGAACCCTTCGGCTGAACTGCAGCCTGTGTTACACCAAACTGTCACATTTCATCAAAATCACTGGATTCTACATGTTTGATTTAAAACGTCCTCAAAAAATTACCGTTTGGTTTAATGACATTCCGTAAAAAAAAGAAAATTCTGAGCTCCTCAGTGCAGTCGTGAAGTTATGACTGACTCAGCTGAGACCAACAGTCACACGACGAAAATCCAGAAAGTTTTGACGTGAACGGAATATAAAAAACACAAACATCTGTGGACATTGCTGATTCTAGTTTGTTTTTTTTACTAAAATAAATAATCTGTGTCGTCCTGCACAGAGACATCTCTGAGTTCTCTCCTCCTTCATGTTGTTCTGCTTCCAGGACTTTATGTTGCAGTGAGGAATAAAATGACATGACTGAGGTTAAAGATGGTGCAGCTGGGAGGTGAACCGAGCTCTTACTTTGACACGGAGGAGGTCGGCTGCTCCACGATCCGTCGACCTGACAGTTTATCTGATGATGATCCACAAACTCTCCGTCCTGAAACACAAACACAGCGTCGGCTTATCAGTGAAACCTGAAACCGGCTCCCCGTTTGATCCACGTTGGATTAAAGACCGAATCTGTTCATCCAGAAAATCCTCCACAAACTGCGGAACATGTGACGCTTGGTGGTGACGAAGCACAAAGTCACAGTTTGAACCGTAAGATCACAGAAGCCTGAGCAGCAGCTGATAGCTCCGCTGGAGTTCACCTCTGGACGAGCTGATGGATTATTTAGAGGAATTTTCTGCTGCTTGAAAGTGAAAACATTGGTTCTGTAAACAGACTGAGCTGAGCGGTAAACCTCTTAACGTCCAGCGGTCGGTTCAGCTCAGGTTACCTTCTGCTGAGTTTGAACCGATGCAGCTCCGCTTGTGTTTTATTCTCACAATTAAAAACTAGAAGATTTGATCTGCTGATGAAATCTCACATGTGGAGTTTGAAGCTTTTCCATTTGAGAATGTCGAATCAGGAAAAACTCCACAAAAAGGGAGAATTATTTAGTTTAAAAGCAGATTATTGGCCTGATAATGTCAAAAAACAAACATTGTTTAATAATCCTGTAGATGCTGGAGTGTCTCACTGATTTCTGAGCCATAAATGAAACTCCTGAACTGAATTAAAGGACGAGACTGACAGGATTTAATAAATAATGACGATAAAATTAAATAAAATCGTGCTTCAGTCCATATTTATGTGCTTATTATATTATTTACTCATTTAAAGAGTGACTTCAGCCTGATTCTGTGCTCTGATCTCAGCAGCGGATTCAGTTTGAGGTAAACAGCATAAAAACAACATTTTCCATCGAACTCACAGAAGAAAACAGTCTGAGCCCTGCTGACCCGTCCAGCCGCCCCTCCTCAGTAATCCCAGATAAACCCTTTTTTTTTTTTTACAGCCACACACAAAGAAAACATCCAGAAAACATCCAGAAAACATCCAGAACAAACAGCTTTCACACGGAGCTGGTTGTCCGCAGAGACCTGGACAGGTAAAACCAGAGCAGAGGATTTGGCCTTTTTTTTCCTTTTTTTTTAAACAACTTTTGAGTCCATTTTGACAAGTTTTGGACATTCTGGACTCATCTTCAGTTAAAAACAATCCGTTTTAATACATTTCCTTTTTACAGTGAAAAACGAGCCGGAAGCTTCAGAAGCTGTTAGTGGTGGAAGCCTAAAGGTGAGCTCACCTGCAGCATCCTGTATCCAGGTGAGCAGGTGAACAGGACGTGGTCTTTGAAGGAGTATTCTGATTGGACGGGGTTCATCAGGGCGTTGGGCGGAGCCTCAGGTAC